CTGATAGAGGGAAAGCTCACGTGGTGGTTTTTCCCGATGGAATCGCTTATCCTTCATGTGATATCGGCGAAGTTGGCGTAAATTTTAGTTCGATTTTCCCCTTTCTCATGTTTATGCCCCTTTCCTTTTTTCTAGTCGTGGGAGGAGCAGTGTGACATGTGATGTCGGTACCGTACGTATGGTGTCAGGATAGAACTAGTATCTGGTGCTGAATCCTGCTTAGGTTAACCAAGGTGCATTCAAAGACCGGTACGATTGCAAAAGGAAGTTGACTACGTGGCGCGTTTTGATAAGGGATTGATGTGGGCCGGATATTTTACCACTTCACATTGCTTTCCTGCCATAGGAATAGAAAAAACAGTTCCTGTTTTCCGTATACTTCCTCGTGTGACCCACAAAAAACAATTTTTTCGGAAGCATCCTACCCATGCTACCCTGAGGAAAGGGAGTGACTGACAGTATTATTCAGGGCCAGCGATCTCACTGCACCCCAGCTTTTTTTGTTGGCTCATTGCTGGCTATTCTAGTCAAAATTATGTAGGAAGTGGCCGATCACCAGTCTCTCGACGAGTGATTCTCGATGGTAATAAATGGGGAGCCTCTTCTAGTACAATTTGAGCGAATAGTTTTGAAATGGGAAGGAAACCAAGTTGGAATGAGTAAGTGAGAGAACAGTCTGAATTGAAAAGCAGGAAAACATCTATTCTTGCAATTGTTTCTCTGTTTTGGCATGTCCCTGGTGGATTATGTTGAATTGGCTCATTGGATGGTGATCGATCACTGGACTAGCTTTTGCAGGGTAGGAATTAATGTGCATACGTGCTATGCCTCAACGACGGTCCAAAGATTGCCCATTAGAACCTCGTAAAAGTTCTTAGACCCATATTTTAGCGCTTGCATTGCGTTCGCGATTGGGATAATCCATGTGAGAATTGCTAGTTTCGGTCCAATTTATAACCTCCCCGGCACAACTTGGTTTGGAAAACGTTAGCATTAAAAGCACAGTCCGCGTTAACGGCGCTTTCTGAGAGTTCCTAGTCTGACGAATCGCCGTCTTTTATGGGCGGCATTTAAGCCCTGTTGGGTGGAAAAGCGGTCTAGCTAGGGAGAAATAAGGGCTCAAATGGTTTCCGGCCAGAAGTGACCGTGTATAGTGACGTTCTGGAATCTGTGTTACTCACTACAGCGCATAAACAATGGGAATTCGAACAGCTGATCGTTTTTCGGATAGCCCAAAGGGTAAAGTCTTGGAGTGTTAATCAATCCCGTCTGAGAGGTGCGCCCACGCATTCGACTTCCATCCAGAATCGCAGTGGCGTAATGAATCTGTGTGCCCTATGAATTGCGGTGGCGCCGACGCTCAAGTCACTATTGTTGTCCTCCCAGACGAGCCTAGTGCCAATTAACCGACCCCGAATGGATGGATGGCTTGATTGGCCTTGGCGGATATCGACCCGGGTTTCGAACCTGTGGCCGTGCGTATACGGTAGTGCACCACTTGCCACTGCACCACCTCTGCCCCGTCTTGGTTGATACATAGTCTTCATGCTGTGGTGTTCTAGGATTCCATACTATGGTTTTCCTATTCCCTTCAGTCCTGCGAGTGGAAAAAATGAGTGGGTTTCCTAGTCTGGTGAAGGTGTTATTTTCACTCGCGACGGCAGTGGAGGATAATGTACGGCATTTTTTGCCTACTGTAGCCAGCTTTTTCCGCAGTTGACCACGTCTGGAATTTCGTCCAAGTACTCTCCTATGCCAATTTTGTCGTCATGTTTTCGCACAAACTACCACTTTAATGAGGGTCGGGAATGCTCACAAAATTTGCGGATTTCCACGCTTTTACCGATGATCTGCACCTCCATTACTAACCATGAAATTGATTCTCCCAAAATATCGTTAACCGTGCCCTTATCGGACATGGTACCAAGGGTTCTCTAGTTCTGCGTTATCCCGCCTTCATTAATTTTTAATTTCATGACCTCAGGGATTTTATTGTTTCCTAAAAGAGTTTGTAAGCGTGGAATATTTTTGAATTTTATACTCAAACTCGTTAAAAGCCGTACGTGGTGACCGTTCAAAGCGTGAAATGTTTGTGTTTTTCGACGAATTTTTTCCAGTTTGGTCCGTATAGAGTGGCCACAATGATTTATATGGAAAATCGTCTGTCTTCTTTTCCCACTGTTCAAAAGAAAATGTTAGCGGCCGGATTGCAACAATCGTCTTTTGGAGTTTCTCAAACGATGTAGTTTTCGGGTTTAGAACGCAATTAAACGTACGCTTTGATTTATTTTTGGTGTGACTTCGGATGGAACTCTTCGAAAATGGCAAAAAACGGATTTCAAATGATTGATAGAAAATAATTTCAGACTACGTGAATTGAGAGCGACCCTCATGGAATGCACCGGTTATCGTTTCTTCTCGTCATCACTACTGTTTGCATTCGATGCCGATGCTGCCGATTCGACTACAGACGATGCCATTCGGTTACGGCTCATCGACTTTGCCCATTCGACTCTGCCCGGATTTGCGCAGGTGAGTAATGGTCCCTGACTAAAAGGTGGAAGTGGCTGATGGCAGGCGACTGGCCTAATGAGCCGTGCTACTAACTACTATATACGGAGACGAAAGGGTCAAGTCTCTGCCATTAATCAGTTCTGCTTTGGGTTGCGCCCCGCCTTTGACTTCCATTCAGAGGAATCGTGGTGGTGTTTTGAATGCATATGTGGCCTAGAAAATGACTATGGTGGCTAGCTGATTAGCAGACCGTGTATTCTCCCTCCCACACATGTCTGGTATCAAGTAACCGACTCCCAGGGATGGAAGGTTCGGTAGGTTTGGGCGAGTACCGATTTCGGATTCCTTTCCTCAACATTTGGTAGCGTGCGTCACTCACAATTACCGCTTTCCCCATAATAGACGGAAAGAAGGGACTGAGAGCCCTCTATTTCTGTACACGGTAAATAGTGGACCTCGAAGAAAAGATCTGAATTGCCCTGCATTAAGCTGATCTAGTAAGTTCCCTCGAATCTCAATCGTATTGAGGGCTGCAGCGACTTTCTAGTTTTTTTGGTGCTGTGCAATATGGTGCCAAGCTGGTTGTTATCTAAGAACCCTCCATTAACGCCCGATTGTCCAGTTTTCCCTCTTAACTCCGCGATCTGATGACAGTGACAAAGGCGAATTAGCATCTCCTTGGTGTATTCCTTAGTCATGACTGACATAACGGCTGGTTAGCCGATGCATTGGTCGCTTAGATTACTAGTAAATCAATCAGCTAGCAGATAAGAATGTGGTTTAACCACATTGTAAAACGGCTCATTAGATGGATTCCTGCATGTGATCATTCCCAGCATATTATCCCCTATGTCCATAACCACCTAAGAATGTTGGGAAGAGATCGCTCAATCGCTGACGACTCAACGGGTTTCCGTGGAGGTGGTGGTGCAATATATTACAGTTGGTCTGGGACTGCGTTCTCTTTTTCTGCAGTGTTTGGGAGAAGATCACGACGGTATATAGATACAGTAGTTATCAATAAAAGTTGTAAATATTGCTGGTAATTGACTGAAAAGCCCGAATGTTCTAGAAAGGTCGATGAAAGTCACGTCGTAGTAACTCGTCCAAACGTGGTTCAGTAATCTCTCCTTTACACATCCTTTCTCCCTCCGACTAAACAGTTAGGTCCTATCCCTCACCTCCTCCCCCACCTGCGTGCTTTGAAGGTCTGCATGATTGGATTGAGGTCTCTCCGGGAGAGTGACCGAACTGGTTTGAAATGGCTGGTTGCTGTCAGACATGTGTCAAATAAGTCGCCAACTGTCAAACCCGTTGAGCCTAATGAGCGAACTTCCCACAGTCTAATCGAATTCCTGTTTAGTTCATGTTCGCTGTAGTCGTAGTATGGGCCTGGAGAGACCCGGGGCATACATACTTTGCCCGCTGTAGTTTGCAGCCATCTGGTCTAAAATTACCGAGGATTGAGCCTTGTATTCCAAGTCTCTTTATGCTGCTGGCTTTCAGGAGTATAAATCACTGCTAAAGTTTAGATTGCTCGTTTACTGGTATGCACAAGAGGTAAATTCCCCGCTCACCCTATATTTCACCTTCAACAACCATGCACTATCCACTTCGAGAGCGAACCTCGCTCCAATTTTATGAGGAGCGTCTGAAAGGAAGAGTGTTCTCACTTGACCTCGGCTCAGCTCAAGGACCAACTCGGCCTAAGATTAACGCCACAACCTGGATATCCTGTTCCACGAAACACGCTTTGAAGTGGAAGTGAATACTTTGTGCAGTGGCGGGTGTCGTTTTGCTAGAATCGATCTTGCGTAGCCGTTAAATCCCCGCAACATCACTTCCTGTTGAATACTGGTTTATGAAGATACGAGAAGATTTTCTGTTATGGAGAAAATTAAAAGGATATTGGCTAATTTGCGGAACTCATTGTGAGAGCCATGGACAAGGTTTTCCATTTCGAGTTAAAGCCGAATGCATGGCGCATCCCACAGTAATTACTCGGTGATTGCACCTTTTTTGTCCAAGGCCGGAGGACATAGCGAGAAGCGGAACTCGTCCGAAGTCGGCTTTTTGTTTCCAAAACTTCAAAATTTCGCCGTTTACCTACCTCATCCTGGAAGAGCCCCATTACCGTCTTCCATAAGAAAAGGATATAACTTATATACGCCTATTTGACTAAGCAATGATTTCCCCTGGCCAGATGTTACTGTTTTATTCTTGCTAAGTTACTGTTTTATTCTTCCCAGACATCTCTGGCGTCCATAATGCGCCCCGGAAGTGAAAACTCGGTTGACCTAATGGTAAACAAGATCGATCACGGGTTTGATCCTCCATGCGTAGGTGCGTTAGCGTCGCCGCGTCGCCTTGCCCCATTTCACCCTCATTTCTTTACTTGATCAAGCTTTTTAGAGGTTTTCAGGATTCAAACAGAGTTATCGATGCCAATTATTTGTAAAATTTTAGGGAAAGCCGAAGTTTATCTAATAGTTAAGACTATGTCTTCCCAAATTTGATCTGGGAGCCTCTCTGTGTGAAGGTTTCTCCTCTGCCCTTTATAATCTCAATTGTTATCGTATGAATGTTTTTTCACGCCCTTGAAAGTCCGATTTTATCTGCCTTTCATGGTCTATGAACGAGGTGCGCTTTGGGATCGGCCACTTCTAATCGAGATTATCCTCTTCCCATATGGGTCAAGTCGGTATTGTTCCCACCGATCCATTGTGTTCGCTATCCATCTAAATCTGACTTGATGTTGATTTCATTTCAGGACATCGCCTATGAAGGAGTGGACGAGGGCTGTATCCTTGGCATCGACAGTATCCTCGCTGCCATCGACGTCACTCCATGTCCACCGGCCCCACCGAATGCAACCACCAATACACCACCTTCGTGACCCTAGCAGAAGAGCGAGAGCTGTCCCAAGCAGCCGATAAGGTCCCGCCCACAGAACTAATTCAGACGACCTTCCTGTGACACTTATTAGCACGCAATATCGTCAAAGGTTGAGGATGTCTTTCAGAAATGGTCTCACTCAGTCTCTTAATGCATTTTTCCTCGTTTCGGGCTGACCAATCCCTCATTCTTGACAGTCGTCGTCGTCGTTTATTACTTGATTATTGATTGATTGACTGATGATGATCTAGTCCGATCTATTCGTGATATGATGTCTTGTGCTCGAGTTCTAGTGATTTACTTATGTTCACTTTGGATTTCGTATTTCGAGGCCACTAATTGCTATTATATTGCCAGGGAATGAAATTCTACCTAATGAAGGTTTTCTAGAAACTTCTGACTTTTCTCAGTTCTGTTATTAAAGCCTCAAAGCGAGGTCCATCGTGTCATGGTCGAGGCCACTTACTACTCTGCGGGCATGCTTGACTGCACATGCGATACGACTCTATAGAAGTTGTTAATGGGACAACTCTGTAATAGGTCATAGTAAAAGATGTTTTTAGATTGGTTTATTTGAGGAATATATGCAGAGTGAAAAAGTCTGCAACGTACAATGCGATGCAAAGCGTCTAATTAGCGAAAGGTGCAGCAAAGTGGGCGTGGCAGACAGTGAAGTAGGCGAGGCAGGGCGATGTTAGGCGGTTACACTTGCGGGCGAGATTTCCAGCTCCTAATTGCGTTATCAACACTGAATAAACTTGTTAAGACATGATAAGATCGCAGTTGCGGTAGTGAAAGTAACGCTAACAGGGAAAAACGGGTAATATTGTCGGATGCGACGGGATCTTAACAAGTAATTAGCCTCTCTACTCGTCCTTTTCAAACCACCCGAGAACCGATCCTGGGTAAAGCATCGTTCTGGGATTCCCAGCGATTTCTTTTACTTCCTATACTGCTACGTGACTGGCTGACTATTTATCACACTGCTAACAATTTCTATTGAATTTTTACTAATTAGATATCATTGTATCACTCACAGAATGCCCAAAAGTCGAGCTTTACCCAACCATCGCATGTTTGACAATTTTTTTNTTTTTTTATAGTTCTTATATTGTACGTATATTCAAACGCCTGCTTGATTCTTTTGAGTACATAGATGTCGGATTGGTGACCGTAAGAGTCTTATGGTGTCGTGTTTTTCTTTTATTTTTCTCAAAGAAAAAGGATTCGCTAAAGTCTATTTGGGTGGTTGTAAAAATCAGTGAGAGGATTTGTGGGTTTAATGGTTGAAACACTCGTCAAACGACCGTGAGATCAGGTTTCGAAGTTCCAGTTCTGATGGCTGTTGAAGTCTTCTCGTGATTGCCGTCACCTTTTTCCAGTGATAGTGCGCAGCAAAATATAAAAGGATAAATGTATAAAGTCTTGGGAAGTCAATCAATCCCGTTTGGGAGATGCGCCCACGCAATCTACTTCCATTCAGAATCGTAGTGACGTATTGGATGCGTATGTGGCCTATACAATGACTAGAAAGGACATCCAATGTATAAGTCAGTGCTTTTATCCTCCCAGATAGGTATGGTGCCAATAAACCGACCGTGAAGGGATGGAAGGCTAGGTTGCCCTAGACAAATATCGATCCGGGGTCTGAACCCGTGACCTTGGGTGCGTGAAGTGCGCCACTTGCCATTACACTACCTCCGCAGCATAAGCTAAAAGTAAAATTTGTTGATTTTTACTGTTTTACAAAAATTTAGGGATCAAATCAATTGATCAAATCGAATTTCATCAGAAATGGGTACCTTGTAGGAGGTTTGAGGGGAGCCATCAAATTTTCAGAAAAAACCATTCTTTCCATCTTCAAGTTCATATTTGTAAGAATCAATGGTTGCTATCGTTACCCAATGGTTTCTTTTTTATTTTTCTCGCTTTTTGTCATCCAAATTTGCAATTACAGACTTATTTGACCTTCAAGAAAAAGGCTTGCCCAGTTTTATGTATATTTTCTGGGCTTTGTAAAATGGTAAGCAGTGAAGCTCAGGAATCTCGTAGACATATCTTGAGACGGATGGTTGTCCACAGATCGTCTTGACCAGTTGGGCAGGACTAAGATTGAGGCAACCCTTACCAAGAAATTCAACTGCTCCGAGATGGTGCTTGAGGAATTAGGGTATTTGGTGCAAGAGAATATCAGAATGGAGACCGTGTTTGCACCAAACTTGTAACCTCCCTCGACAATCACTCACGCATTTGAATTTGGTAAATCCATGGGATCAATATTTTGCATGGCGCATTCCAGCTAGGCCTTTTGGTGTAAAGTCCCCTCTTTGTTATCAGCACTCTACATTGCAATTCTGGACCCACTCCCATCTGCGTTTAGCCTTTCTTACGACATGCTTTTCTGATGAAAACAGGATTTCGAACTGCAAAATCCTATCGCTTGTCACTGCTGGCGGAGCGGAGATCTTGCAGATTCAATGTAGGGGAGAAGAGCGCGACTTGGCACCATGGCGGAAGTGGCAGGCAGGTTTCTGCTCGGAAGCACGACGTCTTGAATCGACCAGCATTTTATCCCATCTCCCACGACCAACTGGTATCATCTGTGTGTATCGGAGAGGTTGTGATGTAAGCAAGCACGTTGATCGCTCATCTCGAAGGAATTCCATAGCTCCTATTGATCGTCATCGATGGGAAGGAGGCGGGTGAACGACTGGTTCTTACACCGAAAGGGGCTAAACGGGCAGCAACCGACGATCTGCCCTAATCTCAGCTTCGGGCAACTGTTACACCTAGCACCCGTCTCCGGCATCGGACCGTTTTTCAAGACTTCCAAGACACTCTTTTATTTACTCTTCTGCTTTCAAGGACGCATTTTAAGTGTAATGTTTGGACTTTAATGGGACTATCATCACGCTTAACTTGATTATCAGCTGCCAATGATGCTAAACCACTCATAGCTCATCGGGAGGCTCTGCATCAGTTTCTTTCTCAAGGATGTGTTTAATTAGTCGCAAAACGGGCTCATGCTGATGATGGAAGCGCTACGAGTCTTCGACGAATTTTCCCCATTGAAGAGAAGTCCGGCTCTGAAGTTTTCTGAGTACGAGGCGAATGAAGTCTGCACTTGCAATCACAGTCACCTCGCCAACATGATTCCAAGGAGTTCTTTAGCGATTTGTTGGAATTCTCGTTTCCAACGATGAATTTACCCAACGTTCTTGCCCGGGACATCTCCTTCACGATATTTTTCGAATTTAGAAGGGCCTAAGAGGGATTTAGAAGGGCTTAAGGGTAGAAAATATGTTTTAACTAAAATAGCTTAATTAAACATAAAGCTAATGCTGAGACCTGTTTCTGACCTCTTTGCCTTCCAACTCTCAATGGGTCTTCATGACTCCATTCCAGTCCGATTAGGAATAACCCAGTCCTATTAATACGAAAGGTTACAACTCTCCTGAGGTTCGCTTCCCGCATATCCCTTTATTTTGACTTTTTTTTGGGGGGTGAAACTTTGGCGACCTTAATTAGTATGCATTTATACTAATCGCAGACATACAGTAATGTTTTACATCACCCAATCGAACTCATCCGCAGAAGGTAGACGGTGCTAACCAGTATTCTTCAGTATCCATCTCTGAATAGGCTCGTAACTCAGTGATAAGATTATCCAATCAAGCACAAGCTACGTAACTTCAGTTTTGGTTCCAGTTTTGCTTTACTACGTTTATTACCCTCCGTTAAAACCCCTTTACACCCTAGTAGATACTATAAAGCCGGGGCTGTAGCACTGATTGACCGATGTTGCCCGTAGACAATCGGGCTAGTTTGATATCTCGACGACAATCAATCGAGTTCTTTATCTCCTTGGGATCTTCACGTTGTTACGGAGGCTTGCGCCCGTCATAAAAAGTATGGGATCGACCATGTTGCGACTTATTCCCATGCAAGCATAGGTATACATCAATTCACATCATTCCGAACTGATTCAAGGGCATGGCAGCTGATTGAACTATTCTCTTTACCTGCCCTTCTTCCCCTATACATTCCGGGTTTTCGTCCAATTCTTTCTTTTTGCTTCCTTGAGTTTTTAAACTTATGATGGCAAGGAACATGCAGAAGTGGGGCAGCAGATGCGCAGTGGCTAACGGCGCAGTATTACTCTTGTATATCGGCAGGTTCGGTTCTCGCATAAAACTGATCGATTTCTTGTTGCTTGAGAAACAATCGATTAGTATCGAATAAGTCCGCTGGGAGTGCAAACCGATTCAACCCTTGATCGCTCTCGGAGATAGTCAGATGTCCTAGCAAGCAATCATTAGTAGTCGAAAGCAGGGCGCATCCTGGTCCTCATCAAAGCCATCAACTTTTTACTGTATGTTCCCTCTGCCTGAGTATATCCAATGATCTTTTCAAAATTCATATTTTTTATTTTCGAAATTTCATTCAATTGAGCATCGTAAAGCATAGACGAGCCGATCAGATCTCTGCGACGTTGGCCAGGTTGTGTAAATCATTACACATCCCCACAAGAAAATTTGGTTGTGGAATGCGCCGCGTGATGGTTCATCCAAAAGTCCACGTTGTCCTTTGGGTGATGGACTTCGTCTGACCAACGTTTCGGCCTACAATCCACTCGTTTTTCTCTTTTATTTTTACCTTTCTGCCTCTTCCTTTTTCCCTCTCTGAACTCACAACTGCTTTGTTGTTCTGATTGGCTTTTTTTATAATGAAAGCTGTAAAAGTTCGCTGTACTGGAGAATACTTTGATGATAATTCTCAGTAAATGACGCTGAAGCAAGCCTTTGATGGATTTCATTCTGGCCTGTCTTTTATAGCTTGCCCTCCTCTACTCCTCCAAGTTGAACGGTTTTTCTGATTCTCAGTCTCCCTTTATTTCTCTTCGATTTTGCTATCTCACGCTATACCAATCTTTTTGAATCCTCAAGTACAGATCTGCCACACTGTTTTTTTTTACTTCCATCAAGCGGGTGAATTTAGATG